ACTGAATTAAAGTTGTCTTATATATCAACAAAATAATTTGTTGTTCCATTGATAAAGCTTATACGGAGCAGAAATATAACAAGAAAATCATGTTATATATATTTTCCTACAACAGCTGCTTTCATTTTCCATATTTATCATCTCTATTATTATGTAAACATAATTATAAACGTATTGTTAACGTTTGCTTACTGAAAACGTAATGCAATTCTAATTTAATAATGCTACTAAAAAACGTATTAAACGTCAATATTTATTATTCACTCGAATAATTATCCACTTAAATAGAAGTCTCGTGACAATATTTATTTCGAATTTCCCTATTTTTATTTCTTATGAAGGTTAAATCCCGAGTTTAATTTCTATCGAAGAGATTCGGTGGGTCCCGAGTTCCAAATTTCTCCTTTACACGCTGCATCCGTTATATGAGTCATGCCCGCGTAACCGAACGTGACAGCTCGGTCACGAATTCACGTGCGCTAGAAAACATCACGATGGCGTTACCGATCACGAAAGATCACGTTATAAATTATATTGTGACGTAATAAAGGGTATCGAGTAACAAAGCAACACTGTGAGAAATTGCAGTATATAACAATATATTTACGGGTTGTTTCTTAGAAATGAAGCCTTCAAACTCGGATGAACGTCATTCCCCCCTTTTTTATTGGTGTATAATTTTGTAGAATATTGTTTAAACACGTTAACGTTTTGTTTAAATCTTGTTCGAGAATCGATATAATGCAATTTATCAATGTTAATAAGTATCCTGCCATTCGATAATATTATCCTTTCAGATTATGTAGACTTAGTAAGATAATCTGAGAATATAATAATTTTTGTTCGTGAAAGATTAAGTGAATTATAGATAAAATATCTTTGATGTGTAAATAACTTCGGCCATTTTACAAAGTAGGCTACGATTTTATTGATTTATTTCTTAATAATAGACTCTCGTTTACGTAATATAGAGACAGAAAAATAAAACTATTTTAAATGGATTTTTTTCACGAATTTTAATGAATAAAAACTGTTTTAGAATGATATACACTGTTGAAATATTCTATATAAATCGATTTTATATCACATATATTTATTTAATAGATGCTGCTATAAAAACATTTACTTTTTATCTCTAAATATGGAATATCAATTTACTAAAGTGATAATTACACGTCGACAATTGGAATTATGAAAGGTCGAATTTAAGATAATTGAAAATTGAAATTGAATTTAAACATTAAAATTCAAAATTTTTAGCAGATAAATTATTAAAAGAAAGGAACAAAAATTATTTTAAATGCAAATAAAGAGTTACATACAACAGTATAGTAGATGTGCTTCTCACTTGGTGTTTGTGTTTCCATCGTTTTATATTTAAATAATTTGATTGAAACAGAAATATCTTATATTTTCATACATTTAATTCTTTAAAAATTATCAAATACAATATAAACCGAGGCGATTAAATTTAAAATACTTTTTCATATTTAAAAGATGTTTAGTTGCTCCTGTGCGGAATTCTTTCAATAATTGTTAGAATTTTCTGTCTAATTTTTAAAAATTAATGAAACTTAAACATAATTGAGGGATTAAAATATTTGAAAAACAATCTGTAAATATTTTTTTGTGATGCGTTACGTTATCAAAGCGATTCAGATAGTAAATTCTTAATTTTCTTGAATATTATTGTAGAAAATGTCTGCCTAATCGATACATTTTATTACAATCCATATTCATTATCAAAACATTTTTATATTATTATTTGATCATTTTTTCCCTATCTTTATGAAATTTAATTAAAATCACTCTTTTTCAATGTGATGTAGAATTTTGGTCTCTCATTAACTTCAACAAAAATATATAATTAAGATCTATGAATTTATTTTTCTTGTATTTAATTATTATATTTTTATTAACGCTCGTTCTTAACGAATCGTAAAGTGGTTAATAATCTATATGCTAATAATAATAATTTAAAATAATCCCGAAAGTAAATAAATAAAATTTCTTTTAATATTGAGTATTACTTAAAAGCTGTTTTAAATATTTTTGTTTTGTTCATCAGAACAGACACACACACACACACACACGTCAAAAAAGCTTTTTATTTTTTATATTTGATTTTGTAGTATTTCACTCATTTTTATAATTCTTAAACCATTAAATTCGCATTATCTTAAATCAATATTTTTCATAAAAAAGTCCATTTATTAGAAATATCACATAATCTCTTTAGACATTACAATATTTTATATAATACGATCTCGAATTATCTAAATTATTTTTACTCTAAGTTTATTTTCGAGAGCTTTAATCCTCGTAAAATACTTTAAAAGTGTATTTCTATTATAGGATATTATTTAAATGTATTGCAGCCTAAAATTTAATTCTAATGGTAAAATTGAAAATATTTGTTAACTTTGTGATGAATAGCAAACAGGTATATAAGAAAATAGCACATATTCATAAAATTTTGCACCGTTTGAACACAATGAGAAAGTCAATATAGACTTGAAGACCACGCATCGTACAACAACCAGAACAAACCCATAAAAATATTAAATACTATGTACAGTTATTCAAATAATTGAAAATGTCATTTTTACTAAACGATTCTATAATTAGACGAGGGACTAAGTTCAAACCAGAACTATCTGCCCGTTAATGGAAAAAAATTAAGCCAGGGATAGCTCAGAAAACATGTAAAATCATCTACTTCAAGATTTTAATATAACTAATGTAATTTTTTTTACATGTAAAATTAGAAAGAAGAAATAAAATGTTTTTATGTTATAGATTTTATATAAATATCAATATCAAAAGTAATGTTTACAAAAAGTTTTCTTTATGAAATCTATTATAATAAATGTTTTGCTTGGTACAATAATAATTTAGGTACTGTATATTGTTATTATGTTTTCTTACAATTCTTACGCAAAATATTGCAAATAATAATGATATTTCCATTTATATTATTACAATATTATTATCTGTAGTTTGCATATAACAAAGTAGACTTGTAACATTCTTTAAATCATTTATAATTCTCGTGAATTTTTTTCCGATTTTAAGTCATATTGTCGACTAGATTTTTGTAATTTAGAATAACTGCAAATTAACTGTGTAAAAAATTTTGTAGTTAAAAATTTGGAGAGATATCGTCGATTTTAATGTTAAATTACGAACGTTATTATAGACATTTATTTTTAATCTTTTTAAGTAAGGAAGACGATAAAAAAAAAACTCAATAAAAACTAAAGAGTGTGATCCAATTAGTACGAATGCAGTTTTTATTTTTAACCAGGAAGTGATATTTGCTGTAGTTAAAATAAATTTTATCCCTAATGGTGCTTTGCAATGATATTTTTAACTAAATAAAATTATATTTTAATTGAAATAATATAAAATGTTTCATATAAAATATATTTAAAGCCTAAAATAAAACAATAGTTTTTAAAATAAATTTTAAACAGATCGATATCGAAACCACTTGTTGGGATGACGATGGAAATTCAGCTGTTCTTCGTATCAATTTGTCAACGCTTGTTTGACGTGCCACCTGTTATATAATTCACGTGACTATGAAGCAAATCTTTGAACGTATTATATAATTAAAAAAATCATTTAAATGATTTTTTAGGATAAATGCATGTGAATGAATGAAGCTTCTTCATAATATAAGTACATAGATCAAGAATCAATTATAAGTGAACAGTTATAAAATTATTCTGTATATGTTTATAACAAGGGTAAAAAAACTTTTGTTAGTTTTTAATTTCGAGTTATTACATTTCAGTTTTCGAGTTAACAAACTGAAGCATTATGGTAATTATTATAATAAAATGTCACAAAGAAGCTTAAAACAAAGTTAAACAGAGCAGATAATTGAAAATAGAAGATAATTAACTTAAACCTTGGTTAAATATGATTTATTATATTACCGTTTCGTTTCGTTTAGTTCTTTAATAGAACATGTTCATTATCAGAAGAGAATTTGATTAATGCTAATAAACTCGGTGTGAACGTCCTTTGTTTTTAATGTAATCACTAATGTGTAATGAAACCGAAACTTTATACTGTGCAACCGATTGTAAATTGTCTTTGCAGCGAATATCTTTGAGCATCGAGGTCACTTTCACTAACTGTGCCATCTGTCATTGTTAACACTTCTGTCAACCATAAGTTGTAGTTTGTCAACAGGATGGATTAAACACACTCCATATTTCATAATTGATTTATGGCTATCAACAATTTTTTCAATTATTTTCTTACTTGCGATCATTACTTGAAGCAATGATTATGTTAAAATATTAGTTCATGTAATTTAAAAAAAGAAATAAGCTACCATGCCAAGGTTTCTTTTTATCTTCGGAAATAAGACACAGCTTCAGCATATGTAGCTCCTATAATGCATCTGCATATATATCTTTTTTGTATTAAATAATAAATATTTATTTAACTCAGCTAAAATAAATTAAAAGACTAAATATTAGAAGAGGAAAACTAAACAATAATGTTATATTTCTGGTGTTAGAAGCAGTAATTCGATAACTTCAAAATTGCTCGCCCGCTGTAAATCTTCAGTAATGTAAAGGCTTCGGAAAGGAAATTGAAAATGAAATAAAACAAATTGTGAACTTTCAGCAAGATGAAACTTTTCTAAACTTTCAGTGCAAGCTGTAAAAGTATCCGAAAAAGAGCAATACTTTATTTTATATTCAAACAGTGGGGGCCGTTTTGTTAAATATCAAGGCATGGGCTAAAATTTGATTAGCCAATCATCTGATTTACTTATCAAGTTTCACTGAAGTCAGACGTCAAATATACGAAAGCAATAACTTAAAATTATTATATTTGGAGGCGAGGTGTGATGTAAACATATTGTGTTAGAAGTAACATAAGCTCGACTCGTTATTTTAAATATACAATCCTTTGTTTATAAGTATTTATATTTATGATTTTTTTATGTGATATTACATAAACATTATTTGTTGCAGGCTGCGGGTTGTGACGGCGTAGTGGGGTCAAACAAGAAACTCGATCAATGTGGCGTTTGTGGAGGTGATAATAGTACTTGCAGGATCGTATCTGGCTTATACACGAGACCCACTTTACCGATTGGCTATAATTTAATCGCTAAAATACCAGCGGGAGCATGCAATGTTAATATTACGGAGTTAAAGAAAAGCAATAATTATCTAGGTAGGAATTATAATTATGATTAATTCGTAGAAATAAAGATATTAAATAGCGAGTAGACATAAATTCACAATAGTTGGGAGATAAATCAATTTTTAAACGAGATATTTTAAAATACGTCACGACAGATGATTTCATTTCTAGGCGCTTTTTTATTCCATTTTTTCCACAATAAGTAAAGAAAGCCGGTAAAGTATTTTCGCCCGAGTTAAAGATAAAAGTTTTCAATTCGTTTTCAATATTTTAAAAATTACATTTGAAAATTGAATAATATAAAAGGAGAAGGAAAGTAAGAGACGGAGTTTTATTAAATCAATAAAAAGGATAATGGATTTCCGAACTCGGGTGTCAAATCGTGTTTATCGATGATTTGCACGCGCCACTCTCGGTGCACGAGCGCGGATAATCATTTGTAATCAGGATATTCTTTTAGTAATCGACGACATTTTATTTTATTTACAGCATTAAGGACACAAAGCGGGAAATACGTCATTAACGGCAACTGGGCCATTAATTGGTCGGGGACGTACGAAGCTGCATCTACACGTTTCGTTTATCGCCGACACGACGGTCCGAGCCGGAATGGAGAACAAATAGTTGCCAAAGGACCAACTTCAGAAACTGTCGACGTCTTGGTAAACGTTTTGCCTGTTTAAAATAATTGAAGTCTTCTCAAATGACATCCCCAATCAAATTTCTTAATCAGTAATGCCGTAATCTTAAGTAATTTCAAAATCGATTAAAAAATCTCCGGATTTTAATCGCTTTTCGAGTTGTTACAATTATTCGTTAGTCCATAACGCTCTAATTATAATAATCGTAGTAAAAATAAATACATATAAATGAAAAATACTCTTACTCTTAATTGAAACTTTCGCTGCTTTAAACTGTTCTAGTTTCGAGTATTGAAAATATTTGATTTAGCTGCGGGGGATATCGTGATGTGTTGTGTCACGCGAGACTCCAGGGATAAGTCTGTTCGACAGTTTTGCTAGAAGTCGAGGAAGAAATGATCCGCGCCATTTCTACCGGAAATGAAATCTGTTTCTTAACTTCGGGCAACGGTCTCGAGAGGAAATATATAGGAAGTGCGCTTTCCTCTATACTTCCAGAAAAGACTGTTTTAACGATTTATAAAACATGTCTAAAGAAAATCTGCTTATGAAATTACTTCGGCCCATTCTATAGAAATATGGGAAATGCTATTGTTTTAAATTATTTATATCAGTTGATAGAAATCTCAAAATACGAAAAAATTATGATATTGTCGCCGAACCCCCCTTTGTATTATTTAGAAAACTTGCAAATGATTTATAAACAGCTAGTGTTTTACTTTATTATTCGCAAACATTACTAGCTTCGTGGAACTAATTTTCATAAATTCCTTAGATATAACCGAGCATAACCAGTTTATGAACTGCTTATCTATTGCCTAATTAATGGACCGCCATTAAATAGCAACGTACTTGCAATATAGGTGAGGAATTCTCATTAAACTTTTACTACATTTCAATAATTGTAGTGTTTTCTCGGCTATTCAGCATATTTATCGAATATATTGATCTTATTTTACTACTGATTATGCTTGCAATAATATAATACGAACATACTGTTAGCAAATGTTTAGAATTTAGTATATGACCATAAATAATTTGTAATGGGAAAATGAAATGCTGTATATTATAATTATTCTAACATCTAATAAATCATACTAATGTACAGTTTAATAAATTTAAATCGTCGTTACTATCGTAGGAATAGATTTATGCTAATGAATAGACTTTATGCCACGATTATAAACATTCCATGAATATTGTCGACGATTTTATCGTATCCAAGTTATTAAAATTTTTAATTAAAACATCAGAGATTAACATTCAAATTGTTTCCGAAATAGTCTATTGGCCAATATTTACTTTTCTTAATTTTATTTATTCAATTTATATGTTAACGTAAAGAAATTCGGGCGTGTATTCAATCAAATTTTAATTTTCTTTGAAACTATTAAGTACTGTGGATGGGAAAAATTTAAATTATAAATTTAAGTGGAACTGCGTGACGGTGACGGCACTTGTAACATAACGAACAGATCTATTAATATGACACTTTAAACTTTCAAATCATTTTTAATGGCTATAATGTAAAGTCTGTACATCGATTTTTTGACTGTTTAATCAAATAATAAATATACTAAATAAAGTTTACTTGAAAAACCATGATTTCAGTTCGTGTCGGGCCCCGTCCCTCACCCGGCATGGGTGACAGAACGGAAGGAGTAAAAAATTAATACAAGAAAGCTATCAAATTGGAAGTTTTAGGAGTAATAATGTTATTAATATAAGGCAAATTCATCGGATAGTTTCTGTTTAATACAATAATTACTCATTTACATTTCAATTTTGCAATAATTTATTTAATAAACGATATTAAATAAGACTATTTTTTTCAAACTGTCGATACTATTTTATTTCCGAATTGCATTTTCTAATTATTTAGTTAAGAAAGAATTCAGAAAATGCGAACTTGCAAATTAATGAATTAAATATTCATTAGCAGAGTTCTTAACAATAAGTTAACAATAGTTCCAAAGCGGTACACTTTATAAGTTCTTTTTTTTTTTACTCGGTTTCTTTGTCTATGGTGCTTCGTTTTAAGAGTTATTCATCTCCCATACGGTTGATTGACTCATCGTTGATGATTTAGAATATAAATAATCAAGATTTTTCGAATACCTTCTACAGATATTAAGTTGTATTAGCGTAGTAAAGGAACTTGCTAAGCTTTGTAAAGCATTTAATGAATGCTAATCATTTTAATCACGGATAAAAACGGATTTCACTTTCCATTAATCGAACGTTCGCATCTAATGGATTTTTGTAATTATTTTGAAATTTTAGCAACATTTTAAAGCGTTTTTAAATTAAACTAATATATTCCTAGATAATTTATCAACAACCGAACCACGGAATTAAATACGAATATAGTTTGTCCGTGACATCAGCCGCAACTTCGAGATATCATAATTGGAATGGAGCAAAAACGCCATCTCTACCGTTGAAAGAAACGGACTCCGGATATAGTACTCCGACTCTTGTAAACCAACACGAAGAATCGAAGAAAGATAAAAGGAAACAACGGCATCGTAACAGAAATATTCAAAGAGTTTTGAATAGTGATAGAAATAACCAAACGAGTAGTGATAATTTAGGACAACGAGAGAGATCCAGATATCGTCAACGAGGTGAATACAGATGGAGAATCATGGGCTTCACAGAATGCACTACTACTTGCGGAGGTGGTAAGTTTATCTACATCTGACTTATACATTTACAAAGCATATTTGAATCAATATCTCATAAAAATGTAACATGTTCCGAATAAGATTTAAAAATAAAATTATTTTTTCTAATCGCACTGTATTGCTAGTATATCGAGTTTAGACAAGAAAAGACATTAAAAATTATAGATGCCAATAATTGTTTTTGAGTAAAAACCGTAATTATTTTAAATAATTTTATGAAATCGCAGGTGACATTTTCAAAATTACACCCGAAAAATATAACATAACATTGTGCTATGGCATTCGCATTCCGGATAATAACTTCGTGATAGGATGTCTCTCGCTGGACAGATGCCAGAACAATACTTCAACTTTAATAACAATGTATGGATTTTTGAAGAAATGCAAGGTATGAGAAACTTTACACAGAGGAGAGAAAAATTCTCACCTTTTCCAAGTTATTTTTTCACTTTTCACCGACTGTAGAATCATTCATAGTTAGCATCAAGAAACATCAAATTAATAAAATGTGATTTAAGAAAAATTAAGAAAATACGATGTATAAGAAAATAAAAATTTTCTTTTTAACGATTGCAATTATTAAAATTGTGATACTTTACACAAACAATTAAGCCGTTGAAATTTATTTTTCATAAACTTTTATGGTCTAGATAATACATAATTCGTATTTTATCACGTATATGCCCGGGTTTTATTTTAGTTACTAGCTAAATCTTGGCAATATTTTCGCTTAAATGGGTTATCTTCCTCGATCCAGTGGACGAGAAAACATCAAACCAATTTCTTTCACACACAAATGGGAAATTATTTTATATCTCCAGAAATTTAACGATTCTCTCTCGTATTTTTTTCTTTCTTTTTTATAACTTTATATCTCGAAAATAGGATTAAAGATTTTAATTAATAAAAGAAATATATTAAGAGAATTTTTAAGAAAATTAGCCACTTAAACAATGTTTATGATTTCATTTAACCGAGGATACTAATTAAGTGTAAGAATCGTTGAAAAGTATTTACTTTTTAGCTGTAATCTTAATTGTTATTTTATAAACGAATTCTATTAAGAAAGAAAAATTAATGTCTTAATCAAATATTAAATTTGAGAGGTTTTTTTAAACTTGAATATATATTCTTTTTTAAACTTAGGAATTCAGAAAGCGCTTGTCGTTTGCGTGAAAAGAAAATTACTTTCTGTAGTCGAAGATAAAAAGTGTGATGGGATGATCAAACCCGCAGTCCAGACAGTGCGATGTAATTCCAGACCCTGTCCTGCCAGGTGATCAATTTTATTTTCAACCTTATATTTTGAATAAATTAATAATAAAAAAAATTACGTAAAATTTGATCAATTGTCGTCAATGTGCAAGCGTAGAAAATACTTTTACATTTAAAATTTCATTTGAATTTCTGCGAATAAAAGAATTATGAACCATCACTTAAATTTTACATATTTATTTATTTAGAACCCGTAGAAATAAGTTATATCCGCCATATTTCTTCTTCAAAGGGAAATTTATTTCGGCGTAACATTTCTAAAAATAAAGCTATAATTGTAAATTTTTAATCTTTAGCTGACAATTATAAATCTGAACAAAAAGGCATTCTGTGTGGTAGAAATTATAGTTATTGAGAAAATCACAATAGTTTCTCGGCTGTTATTCGATAAAACTTCACCAAAAGATTGCTAATCTGATCTGCTTTTTTGTTCAAGTCATCAATATTATCTTATGGCTATCGTGAAATGAATTTCATTCTTCATTTCTCTTTTTCCTTCTTCAATATGTCCATTGTATTATTACAATCTATTCCCCAAATGCTATGAAATGAAAAGCTGGACGATAGACGGCTTCTGCAGCTGCTAATACTTATAAGTTATTGACATCTCATAAGTTTAATAACCTTTTCTAGGTTACTTATTTTAACTTATTTAAATTTATTGCTTTAACTTATTTCGTTTGTTAATGGCAAAATTTTCAAAATTTTGATTTCAAGTAGGATGGTAAAGATTGTATAAACTTCGACTTTATTTAGCTAAATTAATGATTTTTAAGTTATCCAATTATTTGGAAATTATTTACTGTGGTAGCATCACTTATTTGTTCAGTTTCAGCATTTAAATACCAGAATTTTGCTAAATTAGTTAATTATTTTTCGACGTTTCGGTTTAAGTACGCAATATTAAATTCTGAATTTAACGGGCATTCAAGAGTTTTTTGTGATAGAAAAAATTGCGAGTAGAGTAGGAGCTTATGTTGTATGACGTTAGATATCGTTCTTTGATTTTACTTACGAAATGCTAAATATATGAAGATAAAGCGTATGTCTCCATGTACAAATTCGTATCTTTATTGCTGACTTATAAAGATAAAAATCACTTACTGATATTGATTGGTTGTTGGGTTTAATGACGGGTCAACAGCTGTGACTATTTGTGCCAATAATAAAGATTGATCATCTCCATCACAAAATAAACTATCTAATTTAGAGCGATTTTGTCAGAGGTTATCTCGAGGTGATGGCACGATACCAAAAGCCACATCAAACTCCGGCACTTCGTGGAAACTTGGTAAATTTTGCTACTATATTTGTGGACAGATTTCCTAAAAGTGATCAGATAACGCCAGCAGAAGATAAGAAAAAACAATTACCAATTTATATCGCGTAGGAAAAGTTTCTTCACGATTCTTCCGAGCCTTAATTAATGAGTAAAATACAAGAACATAATTGAACAATATTATATGTAACTACAATTTCGTATATCTTGACACGAATCTTCTGTTTCTATTTACGTTTAACTTAACGAATTAAATTATAATATTAACCAAAGTAAAATAAAGTTAATGCATGTTAATATTTCCAACCAAGATAAAGAATTTAAATTGAAAATAATTAAATCTCCCATTCAGATGGACGGCGGATGCATGGTCATCGTGCAGCACCAGTTGTGGCGAAGGCATTCAAACACGGATCGTAACTTGCAAGCAGGATCTCTCACCGAGATTGCAGATAAAAGTAGACGAAAGCGATTGTCTCGCCTCGGAAAAACCGCAATCTTCGCAACCCTGTAATTTAAATCCTTGTAATCAATGGACAGTTGGAGACTGGACTCAGGTTGATGGTCTCTCGAGTTAATTCGCATGTATATTGAGCGTTTTAGCGAAAACTTTTTGAAAACATTTATTTTCAAAGAAGAAAATTTGGTTTTATTTTTAGTGTTCTGTCGATTGCGGAAGAGGAATAAAGAAAAGAGATGTTAAATGTATTTCCAGCCACGGTTCCACCTTACCAGATTCCGAATGTAGCATTCGTAAGCCCGAAGTAGAAGAAACTTGCGAAATGAAAAAATGTATCAGCAACACGTGGTTCTTTTCAGAATGGTCCAAAACGGTTTGTTTCAATTTTTCCTTCCTATTTTTGATATTTGAAATTTGTTCTCACTTCTCAGAAGTAAATCACTTACAGAGTGATTATAATTAAAGTTCCGAACATTGCTCTTCAATCATTTAATAGAAAATGTGCAATACAATTTTAATTTTTAAATATAAATGATAATGATTGATACCAAAATCTTTTCCTATTTACGACTTTATCCAAAGTAAAAATAATAATTTTAATTTTAGTGTTCTGTGGAATGTGGAACAGGAGTTCAGACAAGAATTGTGATGTGTCCTACTCTAAATTCGACAAAAAATATTGAATGCCATCCCAAGTCTAAACCTCCTTCGGAAAAATCTTGTACTAAAATATGTGGTGCAAAATGGTTCACAGGACCGTGGAGTCAGGTATTATCATAAATACAGTGCATTTTATATCTTGTAATTTAAATTTTTGCCGGATTCATTGTTTACACTTTAACTGCGAAATAATAATAATAAATTTCTTAAATTTTGAAAGCATTGCAATTAAATTAAACAAAAATCTGAAAAAATAATACTGGAAAATAATTAGATATTCATTCGTAGAATCTAATTAACCTAGCCTATGTTTTATTACGAGTCGAGTCAAGTCTGGAGATCCAAGATGTAGTAATATTGTTGTTCATTTTAGTTTAACCGCACGAATGCTTACTACTTATCTTCTGATTTTGATTTTGGGGAAATATATTCACAATACACGACATTCTCATTAGAATTGCGTGACGTTATAATGGCTAACATTATTTTCTGACTTAATAGGATCTTTAGCATAATTTTTAAATAACTATTCTCTGTCATTACGCTCTCTTGAACTTACAAAAAAGAAAGAACATGTTACTATAAACATCTCTCAAGAAATGATTGTGTTTTTATAAGAAAAACAACTATGAAAAAAAAACTAAAATATACTTCGGTACTAACCTCGAAAGAAAATCTTTCTTGTGAAGAAATAGAATAAAATATTAAATATTTACGCTTACTTTTCTATGAAAATATAAGCTTCTTAAAACATTTATAAATTTATTTTTAATAAAATATGTTGTTTATGTGTAGTGTTCCGGAAAATGTGGACACGGAATAGAGACGAGAGACGTCGTATGTTTGCTTCACGTAAATGGCCAATGGAAAGAAACATACGAAAAGGATTGTCACGGTAAAAAAAAGCCACCCAAAGAACAATCTTGTCATCTTAAGCCCTGTGGACCACAATGGTTTACCAACGAATGGTCGCAAGTAAATAGTCATTAATATTTCGTTTTATTAACTCGTTAAATATTAAATTACTAAATAAATAATTTGTATTAATTTTTACAGAAGTTTTTTTTTAACATTTTTTGTGTGCAGGCTACTTCCAATTAAGAAACAGTTCTAAAAAAATTCAGTCTACACGATTTTAATTAGAATTTAATTCCAATTAATTTTTAAACTGTAAAAGATTAAAAAGATGAAATGAACAGACCTATCGACTATTTATCTCGAAATTCTAATTTCATTCTAATTTATGTTATTATTATTCATATATTATAAATAAAAACATTCAAAACATTTTAACTTTATCCTATTTAAAAATTCAAAAACTCGTAACAGTAGAAGGCAGTCTTATGAAATTTTGTCAGTTCACACGATCCAAAGATGTGGCTAAAGAAAAAAATTGTAACTTTCGCCCCTCTTCTTTGTTCACTCCATCAACCACACCTGCCTCCAACATTTCTCACAAATTTGGCCAAAGAACGAAACAAAGGCGAACAATCTTTTTCTTCTTCCACGTGGCACATGTTGTAATCGTAATGATCGAACTACAAATCTCTATAAAACTTTTACAATTTGTACCAATCTGTACCAATTTAATCTGTACCAATTCACAAATTTTATTGTATATCAGTCAAGTTTACGTTCTTAAAATCTCTATTTAAATAAAATAATATACATAAATTTTATATTTATTTCCAAGCTTATGTGCTTTCTTTAGTAACCTACATTTCGATTTTTCTTTGTTTCAGTGCTCGAAAACATGTGGAAGAGGGATACAAACTCGAGAAGTGATATGTTCGGATTCGACACATCGAGAAAATGATCGATGCAATCTTCAGGAAAAACCGCAAAGTACACAATCTTGCAACAACGAAATATGTTCAAAGAAAGGTAAAAAAAATAAAGCACATTTTAAGTTTTTATTGCCCTAAAGATTTTAATTTAAATCGAATGTTACGCACTGTACAATATATCTAATTATATTTCTTTATTATAGATTCAGATTGTATCGATAAATATCTTAATTGCCAGCTAGTAGTAAGGGCCAGACTGTGCAGCTATTCTTATTACAGACAACTGTGTTGTGAATCTTGCAGGGAAGTAACGTAGTGCCATGTAAATAACTCTTCTTTTAAAAATTATGTAGATATCCGTCGAATATTTAGGTGCCAAAAAGAGACATTTTGATATATCGGTCAAAAAAAAATATGTCGTGAAAAATAAATATAAATAAACATTGTCTTCGGAAGAGCAGTTACGATAGAATGTGCTTCGATCTTACTTAATATCCCTCATATTTCTTAAAAATAGGACTTTACAAATGTTAGCAATGGACATTTTATTGTTATCACCAATCTTTAAATTATTTAATCTTGATTTACATTTTTTAATTAATAAATTTTTAATACGAAACGCTTATAATTGTTATAATAAGCGGTCTTATTCCAGCATTAATGGAGCATAATCATTTGAAAAATTGATAGTGACTTTAAATAATTCTGATATAAAAAAAAGAAAAAAATTAATCAAAAAATGTTTAAATCTCCCAAAATTTCCCTACCTCTTTAAAATTTTAATTACAGTTAAGATGAAGAAACGTAGTTATTCGTATGAAATATGTGGATATTTTTTATTTAAATGTTAAATGTGTTTAAAATTAAAATATTAATTTAAATCTATTTAAAATCCAATAATTAATCGATATAAACTGTCTCGAGTACTTACTTATTCATGATTCCACATTTGTTAGATGTATTAAATGTATTATATTTGTGTATGTATTGAAAGTAAAAAGAATCATTTACAAAATTCATGTTTAAATTTAATTATTAACGCGCGGTCGAAAATCAAATCAAAGAATCTATTGAAAAAATTAGAATTTTCATTGACTGAAGGCACGTTTTAATTCTAATTCTTGAACGTTATTTATTATTAAATAAATATATTCAAAATTCGAATTTTATACAATTCGAGAGAATTAATATTTGAATCCAAAATCTATTTATTAAGTTGGAAAATGAATAAACCATTCTTGTTATAGATAAATTGCGATGTTTATTCGAGAGTTTTACTACAAGTTAAAAGTTTCCTAAATAAAATTTATGTAATAACGCAGTAAATTTGTGTTTAGTGAAATAAAGATCTAACTAAACTAATATTATTATTAGTGGGTATATGAAATCTTGTGTACATTAAAAAATGTATAATCTTAAGTATCAAAAACGATATGAATTGTATACATGTGAGGTATTTAGGAAATGAGCACTCATTAACGCCTGGAGCTGAACACGTGAGACGAAAGTAACCGAAGTTGTAACCGAACTTTAGAAAATAAGTTGTTGTTGCAAGTCGACAGAACTGAAACCAATAGGCTATATTAATAAAGAAGCAATCCTTAGAATTGAAAGAAACGATGGAATCTGCACCAAATATTAGACCAAAAATGTCTTTCGAGGAGTGAAAAAGCAAGAATTACAATACTCAGAATACGCGTTTATAAAAATTTTTTAATTGTGGAAGGAATTACTCGTAAGACGTAGCTTAGTTGGTTAGTAACGTCGACGACAGATCCGTTAATCAATTGCATGGATCGCAAGTACAATGCGACACTAGACATAAACGAAGACTAGGCACGACAGCCCAACTAACGGAACAACAGATAATTTCTTTGTCGATACGCGGGTTGCCGAAAAAACTTTCAAACTTTTTCATGACTGTCGAACTAACTTCATAGAGCCAATTTTACAAGATCGTGAAAACCGCGGAAGAATTTGTCAAAAACAAAAATACACGGAGACATCGCAAAGAAAGTATGGGATATGACAATAAACATCATTGTAGCACAGAATATAGCAGTTATATTCTTATATAACTCGTAAATCAGTCTACGTAAATGTTAATGAAGAATTGCCTGAAAATTTACAACAGTTGGCAGGTATTACTTTAACCCGATCTAAATACTGCGTTTTAAAGCAGAAAATCCTCAACGCCGCCGCTTTGATAACAGCGCAAATTTGTCTTTTCTAAATGCTGATAAACAATTTACATTAAAACAATCCATCTTTAAACATAAGACAGCGAGCTTAAAAATTACAGTTAACAATATCTTATTATATTGAGGTTGGGTGAAAGCCAACCTAACTGTAGATGATATAATGTATAGATGAATTATTAGTTATGAAAGGAAGTAAATACTCATTGAAGTTTTTAATCAGATCCAAACCCACCAGAAATCTTAATTCGTCTACAGAATATCAGTTATTCCAAGGTTTATATGTTGAGGATGAAGAAATAAGCCAGGAAATGTATACAATTTTACAGTAAAAATCTAAAACCAGTAATAAAGTTTGGGGAGACTGGAGGAATCGCGGATATAAGACTTTTTTTAGTCTGTATCACGAGACCAGTTTGAGAAAACTTAGCCAACAGATTTATTTGGGTATCAATTCATATAAAAAGGAAGAGAACGTTAAAAAAATTGAATCCGTTTTTCCTCTAAAACTAGATAACTGTGCAGTGTTCAGTATTCTTGTGGCGTAAAGACAGGACAGCTAGAAAGTGATTAAAACGAAAATTAAGAGATGAAATATAATTTATAATTTATTATATTTCATCTCTTTTTCATCAGATTTTACACATATTCATTAGAAATTGAAATATAATAAATCCACGAATTTATAAAAATAAGAAATTAACATTTCAGATATTAAAATCACTACAGTTTTTGCTGTAGACCTACATGGGAAACCTAAAATTGTTAAGTATTATGAAGAAAATCGACTAAATAAAACGAACCCCGAGGGAATTCTGGACACTATAAGTTATGTCCACGATTATCCCAAATCACCATGTTTGATTATAACCAGCTTTGAAGGAAGACGTGCTACCGTATGGATATATGGCAAAACACATGATTATCCACATTTATAAATATATTCAAAAACATAAGTGTTTATCACAAATATCGCATTAACTGAAAGAGTAAAATCTTTCAAAAACAACAAGTTTTCATCTGCAGGAAACAGACAAAAACGTGTGAACATAACAGCATATGTCTTTATTACGTGGCTGATAGAAACTTTTTACATTTTAAAATATTTCTTTTAATCTTTCCCGTGTCCGGATTTCCCCTTTCCCCTATATATGAAACAAATAAACGAGGAAAGAGTTTAGAAGTAGATCCTAGAAATAAAGATCTGAAGAAGGAAGTCTCCGAAAACATCAACAGAATAAGGACTATTTTAAATAAATGCAAAAAAACACGTTTTTTTAAAGATAAATACGGTATCTATTGCATAGCTTTGGAACAATTAACATTGAGTTAAACAACAACGTTTCCATAAAACCGCACCGATGCACCAAAAACGTTACCTTAAACACCAAAAATTAATATTTCTATTTCTTCATCCAAAACAAATTTATAGCAAAGTCCACCTCACCTTACTGATTTCCCTTAACGTTAGTGGATAAAAAAGGATAAAAGAGGAAAAAATCAGACTGTGCATTGACTACAGAAAATGAAGCGAGATAGTAGTACCAGATAATCGCTCCTTTCCCCCAAATGGAGGATATAGTAGATAAACTTTGCGACTCCGAGTTTTTTGCCACGTTGGACATAAATTCGGGTTTCTGGCACGTGAAAGTGAATAAAAGAAATATCCACAAAAAGCGTTTGTCACTGACAGGTCATTATGAGTAGGTCGTACCATTCGGATTTAGAAATGAACCTGCAATTATCCAGAGAATAATACACGTACTTCTAAGAAAATATAACTTAAACGGATTTGCACATAACTATCTTGATGACATCTTGATATTTCGGCAACATTTGAAGATTAAATCACTTAACAGGTTCTTCAGTTTCTTATAAAGAAGAACGTAAAATTAAAACTAACAAGATGTAGATTCGCAGAAAAAAGAAAACAGTTCAATCCTAATACATTCTTTATAAAAATCGAATTATGCCCCTCTCCAACAACACGAAAGCTGTGAAAAAATTTCCTCAACCAACAAAAAGACGGTTAACAGCTTCTGGGAAAAGGAGCCTATTACCGAAAGTTTATATCGAACGCAACGAAGGTATTATGCCCTTTGCGCGGTCTTCTCAAAAGAATAGAGTTTAAGTGGCTTGAAAAGTGCCAGAAGTCTTTTGAAAATGTGAAAAATATTGTAAATACTAAACTGATTCTATGCATTTTCAATACAGACGAAGAATATGCACTATAATATAAACCTATACAGGAACTCAAAGCAATACTAAAACAAAACAGGAAGCATATAAAACTATATCCTGTGCATGCTTTCTAGGAAATTATTACTGTACCAAACTAATTATGCAATAACAGAACTGGAATGCCTAATACAATTGTTAAAGCACCACTATCTTCCTGCACGGAACAAAATTTAAGAGGATTATTGATCACAATGCCTGGAGATGACTCAAATCAGTTAAAAAGAAAAAAAAATTAACACCGGATCGTTTAAGTGTTCCAAGGGTCGCGCTTAGTATAATTTCAACATAAAATATAATCTTAGAAAAAATAAACGAAAAAAGAAGACTGCTTGCCATGCGAATCTAATGACGTGGTAAACATTTAAAAATTGTACATTTACTCACCAAAAAATGAATTCAGGCACTAGAAGGAAAGGGTTCAATCACGAAGAAATGCATAACGGAAAAATATTTAATGGAAAGACTAACGACAGGTCACACAAAATAATGTTTCTGAAAAACTTGGAATAAATGTCATTTAGAGTTTACTAATCAGGAGTTAAAAATATACCCTCTTCACCCTCTTCTTGTGACTTCTAGTCTGTCGACTAAAAATATAGTACAGTTAGTAGGCTGTAAGGCTGTTCAATTCGTCAATCTAATAAAGTAGGCCACATGAAAAAAAAAAAAAAACATGTCAGTTAGCTGGCAGTTAACATTACTGGGCCTGGCAGGGAAACCTTTTGGCACAAAGTAATAGTAATAGGAAGCAACACAATTGGAGGATTTAAAGAATATGATTCTCACAAACCGCATATTAGTATTTCAATCGAACTTTTCATCAGACATGTCTGGGAATTGTGCTTACGAACTCAGAGTGCAAAAGATTTTATAAACCTAATCCAAAAAATAGGATTGTACGATCAATAGGACGTGATAATGCAACTGGTATGCAATCGGCCAAGAAAAGGGATGCCACCCGGATGGACACTCTACGGAAAACCGGTCCCGAATTAGGTGATAAGCACTCGAAGTGTAGACTACTTTCTTACAGAATTTTTCAAGACCGCGCATGTCTTTGAAGAATTCAGAAGAGTAGAGATTTCAAGAAACAGCAAGAAAAACGCTCTCGAAAGGACTATAAAATCTCACTTCGAAAATAAAGGTATTATGACAATAAATATCCCCCCCCCGCATTTCTCTTTCGGAAAAGAGAGTTCGTGTGGCTAGAAAACAAAAACAGTATTACGTTCAGGAAGCTCGACCCAACCAACTCTTATCGGACTTACGAAATAAAACGAAAACTATCTGAAGTATCCTATGAAATTAGTACACCAATCGAAAGATAAAAGTATAGACATTTATCACGTATCCAAAGAAAATATTACCCCTAACTGCTCTTTATAAAATGGAAGGATGTACGGTGTTTATGAAGTAAGCAGTAGTTACACTCGAAATCCTGCGGGGAGAAGCTGAGTGCGTGAGAACAGAAGACAAAGGCAAAGAAAGGGCAGTGGAAGGAGAGAGGCAGAGATTAAAGGATGCATTTAGGACTGTTGTAACCGAAGTTTAGAAAATAAAAAGTATATGTGTAACAACGAATTTAACTACAGTTTTATCACCAGAGATTATTTTAATACTTGTATCACATTATAATAATAAATTTCATGCAAAGATTTTTATAAATTCTACAAAAATTTTATATCGTTTAAAAAATTTAGGACTAGTGGTAAAAGCATTTACGCGCAGTTTTGGAGGATTCAAATTCGAGTGTAGGTTGCACGCAAGGCGGATTAGCCCCAATCTTCGCTATCATATCTTTATTGTATGCCCGATCGAATCCACGATGAGAAAGAAAATAAAGGAGGACATTTAAAATATACATATGTTACAATATAAATCTTATATTGAAATGCAAAGCGATGAAACACATTACTACATATAATGAATAAGAAATGGTTAAGTTAATTCCAAACATTATGAAAATATGAATAGGCCTACATTTTAAATGACTAAACAATGTAAAGTAAGGAGCAACAATGATAAGGTAGCGTTTCGAGAGGAATAGTTTACATAAAAGCATTTTAAGCGACTAAATCGATCGGAATTTTAAAGAAACAAGAAATTATTTACATTTTTCTCAATTAGGAAACAGTAAATCTGCATTTAATAACGTCTGGAAGATCGCTTCAGGATTTTCAAAACGATAGTAAATGCCAATTTGTGTACTGATGTAATATCAGTTTGGAAATCGTAACTACACCAATAGGTCAAGTACGCTTCTATTCCAAAACGATAATATCCACGGCATACATTATGATAATTATAACGAAACCCTTTGATCGACGAAAGATAATTACCGTCTAATTATTATTATTAAATTAATTAATGCTTATGTCGTATAATATCAAATGGTAACTAATCCTTTCACTAATATAGTTTAAGCAAACTTAAATGTAAATTAACCTTGGCACTTGGTTTTACCAAGTTCAGCCGTATTAGATNTGTATCAGCAACACGTGGTTCTTTTCAGAATGGTCCAAAACGGTTTGTTTCAATTTTTCCTTCCTATTTTTGATATTTGAAATTTGTTCTCACTTCTCAGAAGTAAATCACTTACAGAGTGATTATAATTAAAGTTCCGAACATTGCTCTTCAATCATTTAATAGAAAATGTGCAATACAATTTTAATTTTTAAATATAAATGATAATGATTGATACCAAAATCTTTTCCTATTTACGACTTTATCCAAAGTAAAAATAATAATTTTAATTTTAGTGTTCTGTGGAATGTGGAACAGGAGTTCAGACAAGAATTGTGATGTGTCCTACTCTAAATTCGACAAAAAATATTGAATGCCATCCCAAATCTAAACCTCCTTCGGAAAAATCTTGTACTAAAATATGTGGTGCAAAATGGTTCACAGGACCGTGGAGTCAGGTATTATCATAAATACAGTGCATTTTATATCTTGTAATTTAAATTTTTGCCGGATTCATTGTTTACACTTTAACTGCGAAATAATAATAATAAATTTCTTAAATTTTGAAAGCATTGCAATTAAATTAAACAAAAATCTGAAAAAATAACACTGGAAAATAATTAGATATTCATTCGTAGAATCTAATTAACCTAGCCTATGTTTTATTACGAGTCGAGTCAAGTCTGGAGATCCAAGATGTAGTAATATTGTTGTTCATTTTAGTTTAACCGCACGAATGCTTACTACTTATCTTCTGATTTTGATTTTGGGGAAATATATTCACAATACACGACATTCTCATTAGAATTGCGTGACGTTATAATGGCTAACATTATTTTCTGACTTAATAGGATCTTTAGCATAATTTTTAAATAACTATTCTCTGTCATTACGCTCTCTTGAACTTACAAAAAAGAAAGAACATGTTACTATAAACATCTCTCAAGAAATGATTGTGTTTTTATAAGAAAAACAACTATGAAAAAAAAACTAAAATATACTTCGGTACTAACCTCGAAAGAAAATCTTTCTTGTGAAGAAATAGAATAAAATATTAAATATTTACGCTTACTTTTCTATGAAAATATAAGCTTCTTAAAACATTTATAAATTTATTTTTAATAAAATATGTTGTTTATGTGTAGTGTTCCGGAAAATGTGGACACGGAATAGAGACGAGAGACGTCGTATGTTTGCTTCACGTAAATGGCCAATGGAAAGAAACATACGAAAAGGATTGTCACGGTAAAAAAAAGCCACCCAAAGAACAATCTTGTCATCTTAAGCCCTGTGGACCACAATGGTTTACCAACGAATGGTCGCAAGTAAATAGTCATTAATATTTCGTTTTATTAACTCGTTAAATATTAAATTACTAAATAAATAATTTGTATTAATTTTTACAGAAGTTTTTTTTTAACATTTTTTGTGTGCAGGCTACTTCCAATTAAGAAACAGTTCTAAAAAAATTCAGTCTACACGATTTTAATTAGAATTTAATTCCAATTAATTTTTAAACTGTAAAAGATTAAAAAGATGAAATGAACAGACCTATCGACTATTTATCTCGAAATTCTAATTTCATTCTAATTTATGTTATTATTATTCATATATTATAAATAAAAACATTCAAAACATTTTAACTTTATCCTATTTAAAAATTCAAAAACTCGTAACAGTAGAAGGCAGTCTTATGAAATTTTGTCAGTTCACACGATCCAAAGATGTGGCTAAAGAAAAAAATTGTAACTTTCGCCCCTCTTCTTTGTTCACTCCATCAACCACACCTGCCTCCAACATTTCTCACAAATTTGGCCAAAGAACGAAACAAAGGCGAACAATCTTTTTCTTCTTCCACGTGGCACATGTTGTAATCGTAATGATCGAACTACAAATCTCTATAAAACTTTTACAATTTGTACCAATCTGTACCAATTTAATCTGTACCAATTCACAAATTTTATTGTATATCAGTCAAGTTTACGTTCTTAAAATCTCTATTTAAATAAAATAATATACATAAATTTTATATTTATTTCCAAGCTTATGTGCTTTCTTTAGTAACCTACATTTCGATTTTTCTTTGTTTCAGTGCTCGAAAACATGTGGAAGAGGGATACAAACTCGAGAAGTGATATGTTCGGATTCGACACATCGAGAAAATGATCGATGCAATCTTCAGGAAAAACCGCAAAGTACACAATCTTGCAACAACGAAATATGTTCAAAGAAAGGTAAAAAAAATAAAGCACATTTTAAGTTTTTATTGCCCTAAAGATTTTAATTTAAATCGAATGTTACGCACTGTACAATATATCTAATTATATTTCTTTATTATAGATTCAGATTGTATCGATAAATATCTTAATTGCCAGCTAGTAGTAAGGGCCAGACTGTGCAGCTATTCTTATTACAGACAACTGTGTTGTGAATCTTGCAGGGAAGTAACGTAGTGCCATGTAAATAACTCTTCTTTTAAAAATTATGTAGATATCCGTCGAATATTTAGGTGCCAAAAAGAGACATTTTGATATATCGGTCAAAAAAAAATATGTCGTGAAAAATAAATATAAATAAACATTGTCTTCGGAAGAGCAGTTACGATAGAATGTGCTTCGATCTTACTTAATATCCCTCATATTTCTTAAAAATAGGACTTTACAAATGTTAGCAATGGACATTTTATTGTTATCACCAATCTTTAAATTATTTAATCTTGATTTACATTTTTTAANTCATATACTAAGAGACATAAAAATCGCAAGCCTATAATTAAATAATGTTTACTTAAAAGTTACCCATCTGATCTTTCCTCGAATTTGATTTACACAGGGTAACCATAAACTGCATTCCCTTATGCTGTGGTTAGGTTATTTGTCGTATCTTTATTTTATTACTTTAAAATTGTTATTTAAATAGCTCGTATATAACCGTCTATAATATTATATGCAAATAAAAAGAAAATTATGCTCGAAAACTTGAATGCGGAATAACTCTATTGGTGTCAGATCGCATATTTATACACGTGGTTAGCATATTCATTTTGTAGAATTTTATCGATCTGGTTAGCTCTATGCGTGGTTCTTAAATCAATCTTTAACGAATATATGATTTGGGACAAATGATTTAAGAGAAAACTATCAAAATTTGGAGAGATTTAACGCCCCGTAGCTTATACCGGAAATTTATAGATCGAGATTTCAACTGGTAGTATTAAATTAGATTCAATACACTTAAAGGTCGTTTTTTTTTACCCCGTTTTGTTTGCTTTTGATTAAACTCAATGCCTGTATTAAATATAGCCATTGCTCTTACAGCGCACTATCTAAAAAAAATGCCTTTTATTTATGGAAAAAATTCACACATGCAAATTATAATCGTTAATAAATTATTGGAAACATTTCCGAATTGACGTTCGAGAATTTATTTTAAGTTTGCATTCATTTAATTCAATTTGCATATAATTGATCTAATAAATCCATTGACGGAACCTTATCTAAAGGCCTGGAATTTTTTCTTAACCGGATGTTAACGAAGGACATTACAAACTTTTTATTCTATAAGAAATATCATCCTGTGGTTTATTTATAAAAACAAGCAAAATTTAAGTAAATAAATCATAAACATCACTCCGTATAAGTTACTTTGCGAGTGAATTTAAAACCTAAATAAATGAAAAATTGCGCGAATTATTTTCCATTTTGCAACGAAATATCTATAGTCGGAAGAAATATTTTAAAGGAAACGTTAGTGTATAAAGATTTCTGCGAATTTAATATGAATCCGAATGAGATACGAAGAGTTGACAAGCGTACCTGAGAGCACGCAGACGGGATTGATATAAAGCGAGGACCAAACACCTGTCGGAAATTCCAACGTGTCGTTACAGTGACAACATCAGTAACATTCCGGGGCCGACCAACTTAGCATAAGCATGTCTCTGATTAAAACTCTCCTCTGCTATCTCAGTTATTCATAGGACCTTGAAAGTCTTTTCGTTCCCACAAATACAATAACTCTTTCTTTACCGACTGTTCGTTCGAATTAAATTCGATATTATTAAATATTTCCCCTCTTTTTGTCGCAAATATCGAACAATATCTGTTATATATTTAATAAATAACGTGTTGAGACATTTATATACTTAAAAAGCCATGGTAGAGACCGTTAAAACGCCCTCAAAAAATAAAATAATTGGTAAAATCTTTATTATGTAAGAAATTTAAACAATTTTACAAGTTGAAGATAAACTGTAATTATCTACGGTCAACATAATAATAGGAAATAAAATAATCCTTTAGGAGATTAAATATTACATGAATACATTTGAATTTATATTTTACTCTGTAAAAATTTGTTTCAGTTGTTTCAATTCAATTGTTGTTTAAGTCCAATATTAGCATACGATTATAAAAATCAAGTTTATAATATTTAGTTTTTCGAATATAATAATAAAAAGAATTATTTAAACAGTTACAATTTAAGTTTCCAGTCAGTTGCATTCAATGCAAAACTCTTGGACAATAAAAGTTGGATTTACAAACTACAACTTTGTTACTTTCATTACAAGCTCTTTCTAACTCTAAAATTCGTCTAAATAATTCTCTGAAAATTTTTTCACAAATGCATCTACTGAAGGCCACAATGAAAATATGTACTGTATATTATTCGAACGGTTCCTTTCTGCTTCGCTAATTATCGTACAGTTCGCTATTAATCGTATATCCACTGGTGTAAGTCAAAGAAAATGAGAAACTGCAGCCGATAAATAAATAAATAATTTTAATTTAAATATAATACGCGCTCTCTTTAATTTACACGTGACACTGATGCTGTAAGCAGTAACGCAACCATTGCTTCCAGCATAAATGCACAAAATTTATGCTATTTATTGGCACAGCCAATGCTTACAACATCCGTTTAAATATAATATTTATATAATAATTTAAAAATTGATATTATATTTAATCATATATAATAGGCTTCAGATGATAGGATATAAGCGGTGTAACGCTAATGCTGTAAATAGTGGCATAGACTTTGCTATGTGTTTGATATTTCGATCCATATAGAATCAAAGCAAAATTCTTTACTTTAGTAAAAGTGAATAATTAGAAAATATCTCGCTGCTAAAATTTACTAAAACTTTTATATTTAACTAATTAAAATATTCTAAAAACAATTAATTATGTAACAGCTTCAATTTTAATTGGCATATTTAAGAGTATAGTTAATTAGGACATTAAGGACACGGAAAGAATTTCTAACGCATCACTTTAGCAGAAGTTCAAATGCTTAGAATTCTTCAGTGACCATAATAGTACTGGCAATTGGAAAGGTAACACAAATTAAGAAATTTAAATAAGACAGCCGCGATAATTATGAACTAATTATGAAAAAAACTCGGTATAATATCGGGCAATAATTCAAATCAGAAGCAAAACCACCATTCATCCCGCGCTCGTGTAATTTGCATATTAAGAGCACATTATGAATTTAAATGGAAGTATTCTACTGTAAAGAGGACTAGAATGTGTACCATACTCATCCCAGACCACCCACAGTTAAACATAGAGACCTTACATAAAACCAACTCGGAATGTCGTATTTATGGCTGTCTGTAAACAGTTTTAAAGAGAATGGACCCCGCACAGTTCTTTTTATAAGCATCATTAACGACAAAGACTAAAAACAGTTAAGGCATTTTTCTCCCTCCCTAAATTTTTTACGGACTATGCATTTTCTTATCATTCATACGAGTCTCCCCTTTTTTTCTTCTGATTCATTTCCCCAAAATGTCGTAAAAAGACCAGTTTAATAACCACTTTGATCATCGAAGGGATATTCCGGAGAAGTGCTTTACTATAATCTCTCAAAGTCGTACACTAACTACTAATGGATTTACAAAGATTTGCACTTCTACCCGCGGGACGTCACCTCTTAGATCCTATCTGATTGGAGAAAACTGTCTCCTTTGCATCTACCGGCGCAAATTATTTCAAAACTATAAACCTAAATGTCTTTAACTGTAACAATAAAACGCCATTAATTACACAGTTATTATTATTATTTTTAAGAAGCGTGTTCATTCGGTTATCGACGAGAAGTTTGCATGACGGAAATGCATCTTGCACTAGACGTTATGCAATACAATTTCAAATTACATTGCAATAATAAGAAACAGGAAACACTACAGAAACTAATTTAATAGAATTGTGCCAAATATAAATAATTCTGGTAAATTTACGAAAAGTGCAAGCCTAGAATTATCAAACAATTCGCTTTGAACTTTTTACAATATTGTGTCTCGAATTAGAATGGAATTAGTCTTTGATCATAATGTATATAAAAAAAATTTGCATTGTTTTTGCATTTATAATTCGAGTTGTTACTAAATAAACAAATAATATTTATACTATGAATAAATATTTTATGCAAAATTTTAAGTGCATACTTTAGAACTAATTTTCTAAAGTAAACGAGGTACTGCACGAGTAATCCGAACACGAGGTACAAGTGCGTTTTTATTAGTTTTATTAGCCAGAGCCGTTGGAAAAGCCTTCATCGTCTTAAAAATCCCCCGGCAGGGTATTAAGACGATAAAGGGATGTCCCAAAATGGTGGAGAGGAGCAGCTTTCGATATTAAAGAGGACATTACTCTGCATTGTGTCCGATAGAGTCTTCTCTTTTTTTCAATTTTTAAAGGGATGATCCAACCGGTTGGATGCTCTTTGCCCTCCGTGTGTCCCAGAATATTTGACAAGTGAGTATGCGCAGGCTTATGTGCCAGACGTTCGCGGACCTAAGAACCGGTTTTCGGTCTGCTCTCAGATGCAGTCGATGGCCAAACCATTTTGATAAATGCATGTAAGTGATCCACGGATGGTCTAGCAATTATCAACTATAAATTTTTCTGTCACTCACGCGGATGCAACAAAAAGACACCATGCGCCGTCCGGATAGTGCATATCTAATCATCTTGTGTCTAATTAAAGCTTACGTCCGCCCGATTAAACAGCCGATTGGATGGCTTCTAATTGATACAAAGTCTTCTTCTGGGCGCCTCGTTAGCCCTCTTCACTTATTAATTAATCCTTTGGCTCTTTTATTTGATTAACGTTTAGCGCCATCTGTCGAGTTTGATAATTATTTCGACTTAAAACACTCCTCTATTAGCTTACTGGCTGCATTTTCTGATTATTTCTCTACTTTAATGCCCGTCTAATAACTATATTGTATATGAGAGTAGGTTTATTATATTAACGTCCTTTGTTCTCCGTGAACTCGGGCTTATTAATCACTATGAGCCGACCCTCTTAGTATCTCGGAGCGTAGGGAGGCTCCCCTTTTTTAATGCTCGTACCCAGGGAAAAAAATCGCCACGAACGTCGGATCTAAAGAGTGCCAATGCGTTATAAACGCCATCTTAACCATTAATTTTATAATTGAAGATTGTCCAACTTATCCGTTTTAATTGAGTATGAACAGGTATCCCGTTTGTAAAATTTTATACTTTTTTTCGTCTTTTTTTAACGGATGAAAACTGTGTATAAAAAACTGTACGAGTTGGAATTGTAGTCTTCAATGTAACAATCAAATAGAGAACATGCAGCGGTGTAAAGGGTAGTTAATTTTTATATCGATGTTAGAGAAAGATTGCAATTGTTATTGACTCGAATTCTTTTTCTTAATGTTCATTTGCTTAATAAGGATGCCGATGT